TATATATGTATATATATATATATAGATCTATATATCTATATATATACAGTGTTGAAGGAGGTACCATTAAGCAGTCAAGTTATCTACCCCAAGATAGTACAATGCAATCCATCATTTTAGCAATGATGTACATTTAGGAAGTGCTCCACGTGTGAAGGGATGATGAGTCTGTGCGGTCATATACCCAGGAGGTCACCATCATCATCTGGGGATGACAACAAAACTATTGCTGTCCAGAAAGATTCTCTTTTGATGCAGAAGTCAAACAACAATTTAAAGGAGAACATTGTGTTGATGCATTAAGAGAACAAAACTGTTCACACCTGAATCAAGCTGCAGAATTATATTTTTTACATCTGAATATCTTATAGATTGCAGAATGGTTCCCGTGCTTATTAGACAAGACTGTAACTGGTAATAATATATATTGATGAACTACAGCGAATTCAATGCGTGCCATAATCAGAATGGAATCACCTTCTTCTTTCTTACACATGTAGGTCTGCTTCATTCTAGAGTGATCCCAGACATAGTTCAATCAACAGATAGACTGAAAAAATATATATATATATTACAGATAGATAGATAGATAGATAGATAGATAGAAAGATAGATAGATAGATAGATAGATAGATAGATAGATAGATAGATAGATAGAAAGATAGATAGATATTATATAGATTTTACTTCCTATTATTTGTTTTCAAAAATACAAGTCCATATAAGTATATAAAATAGAAATAGAAAAAAAATATATAGGTATTTTTTACACATTATTAAGAGCTCATAATTCTGAAACTTTGTAATTTTTATGATATTTGCAAAAGTAATTTGTGTATATTTATTATACATCGATTGCATGTATGTTTGTATGCATATGCACGCACTGCACACACACCAACAGTATATATATGTGTGTCTATCTATCTATCTATCTATCTATCTATCTATCTATCTATCTATCTATCTATCTACATATCTATCTATCTACATATCTATATTGTGTGTATCTATCTAGTATGTATGTATGTATCTCTCTAGTATGTATGTATCTATGTATGTTTGTATCTATCTATGGACCTGTTGTTGTATGGATCTCTTGTAATGTAATATACAAGTACATGAGCTGGTGTTTGTGTCTGTGCTGGTTGCTGGTCTGTGTCTGCTTTGGACTCATTCACAGCCGTCACATTGAATTGAGCTCATAATCAGTCTGATTTGTACAATAGCAGATTACACACCCCTTGCAATTAGGCTTGTGATTGATACTTTTAAGTCCATAAGCCAAACATTGCGATGAAGAATAGACTCATTTTCCTCTGCAAGACTAACACCCAGATACAGTCTTTACACAATGGCAAGTGGCCGTTTGATTTCTATTAGAGAGCCTTGTGAGGGTTCTGAGAGGAGAGGACAGATGGAGTCTTTCAAGTTTATGATCCCATTTTGCAGGGTACATTTATCTTGGCACAAGCTGGTTTGTTTCTGCCGTGTGTCTATACACAAGTGGTCTGCTCTCAATTACTCAGCAAGCAAGCCTTGTGTTTAGAAATTGGACTTTTTTTTATTTTTATTGCTGAGGGGTATAGATAACTCAGGCTGGTTGAAGATTGCTAAGGATCTGCTCCTCTGAAGGTGATACAATACAAAGCATTGCAATCAGAAGATCCTGCACTCCGACTTTACAATTATGCAGTTTATTATATCTGGTTTAAATGAAGAAAAAAATATATAATAAAAATAAATAAATTCAAACTAAGGAATTTCAATTATTACAATTATTATACTATTTTACATTTCAAAGAAAAATACTAATATAAAAAAAAAGTTTAACCTTTATAGGATAATATATTTAGTTTCGTCTCATGTAGCAAACAAGTGTTCAGCTCAAACATTAAATCCGTTTAGGACGCATCGTCATAATAATCATATTTTGCATGTTTGAAACTAACACAGGAAAAGTAGACTTCTATAGGAAATGTAGTATTTTTTATGTGCATTTTTGATATAATTCTAGACTGGTTAGTAGGTTTTTTTTTTAGTAAACCGCCCCATTAAGATGCTAATAATGTAACACACAAAGTGCAAAGCAATAGCTACATTGTAGACTTCGCAAACAGATACCGTAGTGTAGTTAACTAATAAAACATTCTTATTTACTAAGATGGAACTGAAGGCGCCCGAGTCCTTATGAATATTAATACAGTAAATATAAAGTTACAGGGATACAGCCTCTAGAAACCAGTGGGGATTTGCTGAGTTATTCTACCACTTTCTGTCTGTCTGTTTGTCTGTCATAGGATCAATTCATAAAGCTAATACGCCAGGATAAAATATCCCTGTGTATAGAAGTGTTGTTTTTTATTGATTAGAATTGTGTTTGGAACCAATTCACAAAGCTAACACACCAGCATCAATATACTTTTTGTCAAAAAGGTGACAGTTGTTTTCAGTTTGCGTTCAATGACATGTGAAAATGACACTCAAATAGCTGAAATAAAGATACTTAAGCTTTCGGAATTGTTTGCTTAATATGTAACTTCATTTAAACCTTAATGGGCTCAGTTCACAAAGGATACATGACTTTATTTCAACCCAGTGACTGTCATGTTTTAAATCCAAATGGAAATAACTATAACTTTAAAAAATAAATTGTGTGTATATATTCCATGTGTGATACAATATCCATTTCACATGTAAGATGACACTGTGATTTTCTAATATCATTGTGATGCTCCCTGCCTGGGTATAGCTGATATGGTGGCAGTAAATCGTACAATCATATGTACTAATTAATTAATTAAATAAATATGTAATTAAAGGATTTCTGTGCCAAAGTGCTGCTCCCCCCCAGATGCTGATTTATAAAAGTCACTATAGCTGATTTCATGCATTATATTATTACTGAATCTATTTTTACCAGTGGTTGCAAACATAGAACCCTTTCTGGTTGTTGGGACACCAGGTCTGCTTCAGTCTTAATAATATTGACTCTGCTGAAATGAAAGTTGGAATATACTTTGCATTTTGTTAATTGCTCCCTTTAATGTAGACCCGTTCAGACAGATACTAGAGACTGTAGCCTGTTACATATCTGTAGCATGTGCATGGGATAATCTAGGCATGTTTTGTATTGAAATCTACGTTGTTGTTTCTGTCTTCACCCTAGGTGTCACAGAAGAAGCAGAGAGGTGCCTAGTGGCTCCTACAGCAGTCCAGAGACCAGTCCATCCTTTGGTAAGATCCCTATGTATTACTATTCAGCACACTGTAATCACTGAGCGAGCCTGCTCCAGGGAGCACTGGAGGGCAAAGTCTGCACTGAAGGCTTCCCAGTGTTCTCCTACCCAGCTTCTGGTATCAGAATCAGCTGACGGTTTTCTGGAAAATGCTCATAACTTTGTGTTTATTCATTTATAACCTGTCCATCATATAAACTATATTTGTCATATTGGAGTCAGGAACATTTTAGAGCAGACTGAAACTAGGAACACATTATTGTAAATGATTGTTACCATTGCCTAGTACTCAGCAGAGCAAAGTCAATGTCATTTACTCAAATCTCCAACTCTGGAGCAAAACGTTGCAAGCAGGACCTCTGAACACTGCTGATAACAATCCAAAATGTGACAGTATTGGTGATACACTATGACATTGATGTGAACACAGAGAATCTGAGAAACATCACATGGTACAGATGCAGGAGCAAAAACTCTTTTCATTTTGGTGGTTTGACAAATTCCTTTACATATAGTTTACTGTGATGCACCTGCTTCCAGTCTGCGTAATAATAAAATAGACATGGAAATATAATTTACTTTAATCACCTGTCACAAGTCTCTGTAATTGTAAAATAGAGATGGATAGAGAATAGGTAATCTAAATAACAGGTAACATCT